AAGACTGAAACTGGTTTCTTCCGTATATCAACAAAGAAGTCATAAACGAAAAATAAACAGTATTTATAGAAATTAAATTGACAGTAACATAAATTTTAACTACAGCTACTGTTTCTTATTAGATTAGAACGAGTTCTGAATTGAAAATGTACACGGAACTACTTATAGCTTTTTTAAGGTGCATGTCCGCACAACGCTTTATGAAAATTGTTCTAAACTAATTAGAACTTACACGTGTACCTAATATGTTGCTTAAATTAATTGACGTAGAAAAATTATTTATTATGTAAATAGATGACATAATTAAATTAAAGTAGTAAATGAGAGCTTAATTCTAAGTTAGTCGGCGCTTTGATAATTTTATCACGACGAAAAAAAAACAAAGCAACATATACAATTTAGCTGTGCTTGATTTCACGTGTAATTATTATTGATAGTGGTCAGGTGTATATAAAATATGTTAGTGCGTTAAAGTATGTTAGAATCATATTGATGAAAATAGTGATTCAAATTTTTGTTAAAGCAAATACGGAAAAAAGAATTACTGATTTCTAGTTAAACTTATATTAAACCATTTTATTATCTCATAAGATTTCTTTATTAAACATAATAATTTGATAGATTGATCACAGATCAATCATGAAATTTTTCAGGCAAATTTGCCTGGAAAATGGTTTAATGGATATATCAAAATATTAAATAGATTAAGTATACAAGTACGGAACTATAAATAATTTAACTAATGATTTTGTTTGGATCGAAATAATAATAAAAGAATAGAATGTTCAGAAAAAATGTCTGCGATGATATAGACGTCTTTTATCCTGATATAGCCCTGATATAGACACCTTTTATCCACGGGCACAGAATGCCACTGAACCTGAACCCATCCCAGCCACACAATGATCGAAAATTTTTTCAGCCGGATCTTGCCCCGCAGCACCTGTTGCGACATGAATGGGAACCAAATGATCATCAGTTGGATGCGCTTGTCTCAGAACTGGGTGGTCAATCAACTTGATTAATTGGTTTTCTCTTTCTTCGCCATTACTTTCTAACAAGATTTTATCCATATCTTTTGTAAAGCGTGTAGCATACGGGTACGCTTCTCCTGAAGTGGAATTTGTTGAACGATCAAAATTTCCGAACGTATCTCTTAAGTTATGGACCATCATACCAGAACCAATAATAACAACTCCTTCGTCTCTATATTTACCGTATGTAATTATATATTTAGTCACTATCTGCATAATTTGTTATAATAACTTATTGCTTTTAAATGTTGAAACTTTTTAATACCTTAATGATGTTAAAGCACGTCCAACTTTAATATGATATTCGTATGATGCATGACGTGTAAGAGATACTTGTACTATAGGTAAATCTCCTGGTTCAGGAATTGCTATCTTGAGAGGTATCCAAACTCCATGATCAAATCCACGAGCCGTATCAACCGTTACATTGAATTTAGCCTATTAATTTACACGTATGTATGTACGTACGTAAGTTGTAAGCGTAAATGTTGGACAAAATATTTAAAAAGGGTATATAAAAGTATTAAGTCAAGAAAAAAATACCTTGTTTAGCAAATTGACGATCTTGTCTGCTAATTCGGGTGATCCTTTCCCATGATATTCTTGTCTGTATAGTTCTTCAGAAAATCCACCGAAATCATAAATAATCGGCGTTACACCTTTGAATTTTCCAACTAAAATCGAATTAATATCAATAATAATACGTATTTAAATAATTTTATTTTATTTTATTTTTTTCTAAAGTATGTTAAATTAACACACCTTTAATTCCTCCTACAGTTTCCCAATGAGCAGAAATAATGACAATGGCTTTTGGTTTGTCCTCATTCAAAATTTTCTTTCCCCATTGTTGAAAAAATTTATGTTCGTTACTTTCCTTAGCGAGTAATACCGGTGGTCCTTGAATTCAATCGATCGAATTAAATATAAATATATCGTTATCTATAACAACTATAACGATAAATATACATACCACCATGAGAAATAAAATAGCATGGCTTTCGTGATGTTGTATTGGAAGACATTTTTTAAATTATTTGTTAATTTTTAATTACTTTATAATCTTTGGGTTGATTTTTATGTTGGATGCAAACTGAAGTTTTTGGCTTTATATATAGAATAAATTGGTACAATGTGTTACCATTACTACGCTAATGTAATATCTGTAATGTGACTAATTTAATGTCGATACGTATCGGTATTTGTAATGTGCCGATTTTTGATCCTATTACAAATTTAGATTATTATCCGTTTGATTGGTAATCAACTTGATGTTCAGAATTACTAATACCGAACTAACTTTCTAGAAGATTGATTGTCATGATTATTATATCGAATGTGTGACTTTAGAATTTTGTGGTTGCAACAGTTTATACAGTAGTACTATTGGATGTGAAAAGATATGAGAGGATGTGAAAGCAATAAGAAAATGTGTCCAATTTAATATCAATGGTATCGAAAAGTTTATATGATACGTATTTATAAAGAATTGTCCAAATAGTTTTCCTTAATATATTATATGGCAATGTAGAGTTTTATTAATTAAAGTATGCAAGTTTACTTTTTATGTGTTATTTAAAATTCATAGTAAAAAAAAATTATCAATAAGAAAATGACATTTAACAATAGATTGCATTTTAAAATATATCAATTAGAAATTATTTAAATGTTCAAAATCATTACTATTTTTTACTCCCACATCTTTAAGCAACGACCACGTACTATTAATAAACAGGAGGAACCGTTGATACGTCACAAAATCGTTACACAATTGATAAAAATTTTTTTTATATTATTTTACAAT